TGCATTGGTGCTATGGTTCTATTTAGGAAAGTAAAAATCCTTATCTTTTAGACAAATATGTCGAAGTATGTACACATCTGCTATAAGAAATTTGAGGGTTGAGGGATTGTGGTGACTATAGGTGAAACAAGACTTCATTTAGTTTATAATCTGAAAGCTTAGTGATGCCTGTCTAGGGTTTTATTATATTATTCTAGTCTTATTTTTAAAATTTTCCATAATAAAAGTTTTTTTATTTTTATTTTTTTCAAATTCTGTTTGTAATGTCCCATAAAATAAATTTAATCTGGAGTGAATTAATATTTAAGTTGCTGATTTTATTAGTATTCATCCTAAACATTATATTTCTGCACATATTTGGGATTGGTTTGCAGGCTTGTTTTGAATAGAAAGTTTGATATAGGTCTTGTTTTTGCTTTGTTTTGTTTTCTCTCTCATTTATTTCCTCCCTGTGTAGTAGTTATGTGGTTGCCTATATCGCACCCAAGTGCAGGGCTAGGTTTGATGTGGCCTTAGAGGCCTGTCTCCACTGTGGTTCTGGTGGGACTGCGGCTCTGGGACCTAATCAGGAGTGCTTGGCTCATTTGTTAGGGCTGTAGCCCAGCCTTGTGGGCTAAACCTGGGTCCAAGCAAACTGAAAACCACGTCCTACGTTACATCAGCTTCTTAGCCCTAGGCTCTGTGTGGCAAATCTGGCCCCAGTGCCTCCCCTCTGTGGAGCGTTATTTGCTCTGGCCATCTCTGCTGCCATCAGCTCACCTGCTGCTTTGCATTTGTTTAGTTGGGGATTTTAATCTTGCTTTTTGAGGCTGGCTATGTCTTTTCGATCTTGTGTTCTTATTTTTTATCTGCCCTGGCTATGTGTTTGGACCAAAGTAGACACATCAGAGTATGAACTCATTGTGCTCTCTCAACTGGAGGAAATCCTTGACTGAATCAGTAAAGATTCCTTTCAATTTCCCATTCAAAGACTGTAATCTGCTGAGTATATCTTCATAAAGGTGATATTTTTCCTTTGTGTTGGAGATAGCATACTTTATTCAGTATTTTTCCTCCCAGAAGACTGTTTTGGAAATCTCCTTAGAGAAAATAGCAACCCGCTACCCCATAAGTTATTCTGTCTGTGGTCTCCTCAGCACACATCCCTCTCTGAAATTACCTGATTTATCTGCTCCCACATTTGTCTGTCCCACTGGGATCTAAGCTTCCCGGGAACAGAAACTTTCTCTCTTTTCTGTTTGTATCTGCAGCCCCTTTATGATAGTTTCTGTCACATGGTGGACACTCAATAATATTCTGATAATTACTGAATCAGTCACTGAAACCTGTCTGTGCCTCCCTCATGGTCATGCTGAGAGATGGCCTGCTGCATGTCCTCTGTGAGTGCTGGGAAGCAGATGTTGGACTGCTACAGCTATATAGAGTGACTAGTGTTGTCTAATCCCACCTTCATTCATCAAAATCGAGTCATTGAGGGCCTACTCTGGGCCAGGCACTGACATCCAAGTGTTTATATCTCATTCATTTCCTATATCCCTTTACCATGTCACCTCCTGTCGACTGCCAGTTACTGGGTTTCATTATAAATCTCAGATGAACAGAGTGGGTTGGTAGTACTGATTAACGGGTGGAGTGAAGGCAGTGAGCTAGTCACCTGTCTGGCTCACTGCTGGAGGCCAAGGCTTTGAGGGATGTGCTGGAGTTGGCTGAGGCCCTTCCTCTCACAGAGCTTGTTCCAGTGGGCAAGACAGACTCATAGCTCTTGAAGCAGTTCCTCACTTACTTGGTAACAGCTTAGTTATGTGGCAAATTGATGTAATACAGAAAGGCCCCTACTCCTCAGTATGTCTTCTCCTGTGTGAACAGTCTCTATGTGGCCTGAGGAATGGCAGTAGTTGGGGAGCTCTGCTTGGACCTTAGCTCTGCGTCCTGTTCTTGACATCAGTGTTCATGGTGGCAACATGGGCCGAGCATTCCTGGCGCTGCTGCCCATCCCGATGTGTCAGTTAGATGATGGCTAGACATGTGGAAGTGCCCTCTGGTCTGCTGTCCCACTGCCCCCTAGTGAATGGCCATGGAAGAGCCTCAGGACAATTTCGCTTTCAGATGTTATCTTCCTGCTTGGCTGGGACTGTTGGCCAACAAATGTCCAGCAGGGCCCGGCTATTTTACTGAGTCAGATTCTCTGATTGCACCAGGGATAGTTAACTGGTAAGTGCTGGCTGCTGAGGATCCAAGCGCAGATTAGCCATGCTTGCATTCCTGGAACCTGCCTCAGCATTATGTTTTGAAAAATCCTGTGAGAAATCCCCAGTATTCACTCTCACTGTTTGTATTTAGTTGTTTTTTTTAAAAAAAGTGTTGGCATTCCACAGGCATTCCAGAAGCCTTCTTGGCATTTTTAGGTATTTTACAGCTGCCTCAGGAGCCAAGTTCCTACTCCTCTGTATTCTGCAGGTAAGAAGAAAACACACAAGAGGAGGCTAGCAGCTTGCTCAAATTCACAGGCCCCTCGTTGATCCAGCTGGCATTAGGACTTGACTCTCAGGTGGTCAGCCTGTCGCCCAGCCCTGCTGGCTTGGATTTTCCTGGGAGCAGTGTGGTCCTCCAAACCCAAACCTTTCCTCAGGCACGTAATATGGGGCACGACATATCGTGCCCCATATTACCATCCTTCCCCCACACCCACGTCCACTCCCGCTGCGGCTTCAGAAAGGCTCCATGCCAAGGAGAGAAGCAATGCCAAGGAAATGAGCTTTCAGACACACCACTTCTTATCCTACCTGGTGTTTCTGAGCAGGCAGATCCACGCACTCATAGTGCAGTTTGAAGGAAGAAGCCCAGAACTCAGTGTCACACTGACTTAGGTTCATGGTCCACCTTCGTCATCAACTAGCTCTTGGGGTCATGAGAATGAAGTCGACCAGGAACCTACAATAGAATGGTGTCTGAGCACACTTGACCCTTAGCAGAGGGTGGATGACAAGCAGATGGCATTATCCCTCCTACATGTACCAAGCCTGTCTTCCGGAGTTCTCAGACCCTACTTTGCCATGATGTTGGTGTGCCATTGTGGTGGCCTGCAGTGACCATGCCCTTTATGGGGATTTTCTTTAATCTCTATGCAGTCCCGTGTGGTTCTGTTCCAGGTTTATATGTTACTAGAGGCCCAGTGCATGAAATATGTGCATGAAATTTGTGCATGGGTGTGGTCCCTAGGCCTGGCCAGTGATCGAAGTGCAAGTGACTGGTGTGGAAGGGCAGGTCCCAGTTGACCTCTGGGCCCTCGGCAACACCTGGGCCCCTACCCACCCTCCCTCCTTCGCCTAGTCACGGGGCCCAAGTCCCCATGCAGAGATGTGGTGAGTTTAGCTGAACGCTGTGGGCCAGGGTGCAGTGTGAGCCTCTGGGTCACCCAGCGGTGCCACCCGGGTGGGCAGCGTGCTCTCTCCTGGCTGGCCTCGTAGACCAGCTCCTGCGTGAACCCATGGAGAGCCCAACTGGCCCCTGTGGCCCAGCTCATCCGGAAGAGGCTGTGCGGGTGCAGGGTGGGCTCCTCGCTGGTGCCCGGCACCTGAATGTGGGGGGTAGGACTGGCTACCCCAACACTGAAGCCCTGGCATCCTGGGGGAGGGTGGCAGGGGGGTGAGCGCAAGCTTGGACACCCTGCATTCTCTCTGCACCTCCATTCTCATCACCCCCGCCCCCAGGTAGCTAACAAGAGGTCACAGGCCCCCACCTGGGCACTGCGGGAAGCTAGTTGCCACCACCCAACCCAAGTTCCCTCTCCTAGCCCAGGACTCAGCCCTGATTGGGCAATCAGGGCCTGCTGGCTGCTGGTTACCGTCTGTAGGGCTGAGCCCCCTGCCTGGCTCCCTCAGCACCTGAGAGCCAGCAGTGGCCCTGCCCACTGTTGTCTGCAGGATGATGGGTGGGGCACTTGGTTCCCATTCGCACCTGCCTTGGCCTGGTGCTGCCTGCTCACCTGCTCTACCATCCTGTCGTGGTCCCAATTTCATTGGGGCCCATCAGGGCCCGTAACACCTCCACTGCCGCTCACTGCCAGCACTGAGTCGCTAACACCCCTCATGTTCCCCGCTGCCGTGTTCCCCACCACCATGTTCCTCGCCATCCCCTGGTGGTCAGTGCACGTCATAGTGAGCGGTGGAACTTGCGGTCGAACTCCTGGTCGAGGGGACAATTTACATATTGGGCTTTTATTATGTAGGATATCTGAGTAAGTGGGACCTTGGTGGAGTTAGAAAATTTTTCAAGGTCACTCAGTTAGTGAAGGGTGATGTGGGTTCAGCCCAGGTTAGCTGGTTCCAGGTTCCTTATCATGGTTAACCAAGCCCCTCCTCCTAACTGTGACCATGAGGGTGAGTCCTCAACTGTGTGCACCAGCAGTTCTGTTTGTTCCCACCAGGTGGGCGAGGGAGCCACTGCAGCCTCCAGCTCTATGGAGTTTGCCTCACCAAAAGGACATCTCTGCCTCTTACAACTTAGAGAGTGAGTCACTGGCCTGGTGTGGTGCCAGGTGTACAGACTCCATGCCCAGATATACGGACATCTGCACCTGCCATTAGGACCTGGCCCCAGCTCTTCCCTCGTAGCAGTGAGCATTGGGCCACTTAGCCCCTTGGTTTTTTCATTTATAATAGGGCATCATAATAATCCTACCTACCTTTTAGAGAAATTGTAAGACTCAAATGAAAGAATCTGTGGGAAGCATTTGCTCCAGTACTTGGCACATGCACTAGGAGCATTCAGTAAGTGTTAGTGCTTGTCATCCGCGAAATGGTTCTTGCAATGACCTACCTTGAAGTGTTGAGGTGAAAATTAAACACAAGATAGGCAAGCGATCTAGCATAGCACGGTTTCAGTTCGTTATCGCTCTTCTTCTCATTTTTAATGCCACCGTGAGCAGGAATCTCTTGTAGCCCTAGCCCAGCCGCTTATGGTTAACATGGGCTTTGTTCTCTTCCCACTAGGCCAGCGAGCTGGAGAACCGAGAGTCGGAGCTGAGGCGCCGCGACACCTTCTACAAGGAGCAGCTGGCGCATATGGAGAGGAAGGTAAGACTGGGCTTTGGGGGCCCAGGTCTTAACGGCACTGACAGGGAGAGAGGAACCCACAGTTCCTCAGTGCTCATTCACCCCAACAGCCAGTCACCTCATGGACATGCCCTCCAACACGCCACATCGAGCACCACCCCTCCAAACGTTCAACAAGTGGCAGTCACAGAGATCTTTTTGTTGAATGCCCTCGCTCATTATAGCTCAATTTTAGGAAAAGAATCATTGCACCACAGGGCAGTGCTGATACCCAGAATACCTTTCACAACTTAGTTAAGCTGCACTGGATAAAAATGATAATAACGTGAAGTCTTGCTATACAAATATATTAAAGTTGTATTATTGATTTTCTCCTGGGATTCGTGGAGATCAAAGTGCACCATGGCTATCCTACTTTTCTAAGGATAAGCCTTTGAAATGAATGAGATTCAAAGACATGTCATGCCTTTTTTTAAAAGCCTACAACAATTCCTGAAAATGCATTTGGTAACTTGCTTACTTTGAAGGTGGGGAGGGGGGGGGGGACTCACTTGTTGATCACGGCAGATTATTTTTCAAAGAAACGGCTTAAAATGTGGGAGGGTAAAAAAGGAGTTCTCTCTTCTGCCTGAGACAGCATGCCAAGCAACCCGAGCCATCAGCTTATTGCAGGCAAATCTTTGAGAATCGTTTGTCACGGTTTGGAGCTTTGAAATTGACAGTTTGCTTGAGGGGCTTGATTTTCATAGGGGCTTTCTCCTGTGGCATGCCACACTGGAGCCTGGCAGAAACATGGATTTCTGGATTTCCAGGCAGCAGGGACATGGGGGCGTTTCCTCCCTGCTCCACGGACACCCCCACCTGTCCACCCTCTCTGGAGTGTCTAGGAGACCATCAGAATTGTGATGTGAGCACAAATGCTCATGGTGACAGCCGGTGGTCCGAAGGGCCGGCAGGGGACCTGGAGCTGCCTACAGAGGTGGGTGGGCCTTAACAAGCACACGTTTCCTGCAACAGCCTCCTGCCCAGGTTTGACGAAAGCTGTAATGACAAGGATTGTGATTTGAGATCCTGGAAAAGGGTAAAAACATTCCACCAGCCATAGCTCTAATTATCACAGTTGCCCATATGTTCATAAGCGCAGATTTTTTTTTTGTTAAGTGTGTAATTTTACGGTCTCCTGCTGTGCTTCTCCTGCGTTTTCCTCTCTGGGTTTGGCATGTGTGTGTTTGGGGTGGAAGGCAAGTAGCCTCACAGCTTTTTTCCTCCCCTAAAATCTGTTTTCCCCTCGTCACGCTCCTGTCTCCTCTCTGTTATAGTCCTCTGCTTTCCTGAAGGAAAGGACACTCTCTGGGATGAGCCCTTCTTTCTCATCTGCTCTCCCCACGCATCATAAAGTGAAGTCCAAATTCCGTTTGCATGCACATGCAGGCTTTTATTTTGTTAATGATGTTTTCCTATAGGATTGTGAACAGTACGGAATGCATCCAGAAGGAGGTACAAAAACATGATCTCCTTTCGACTCTTAACCAGCAGCATTAATACACACATACACACACATTATTGATTTCAAAGAAGAAGGGAGAGGGAGAGAGAGATAGAAACATCCATGATGAGAGAATCATTGATCGGCTGTCTCCTGCACACCCCACACTGGGGATCGAACCCGAAACCTGGGCATGTGCCCTGACCGGGAATCAATCCGTGACCTGCTGGTTCATGCTCAACCACTGAGCCATGCCAGCCAGGCTAGAGAGCAGCATTTTGCTGTGATAATACAAAGGAGGGAAGAGCCTCAAACATCTCAGGAACTGGAGATTGGTGAGGGAGCTGGAGAACGGAGCGGGCTGGAGAGAGGGGATCGAGGAGGCATGGTCAAAAGCTTAATTGTATCCGTTTTGAAAAAGTTTTCGATTTTTCTCTGTGGATAATTTTATTCCAGTAACGGGTTGGGAGGATGGAAACAGCATCCGACAATCTCTTTTATGAACTGGCGCTTTTATATTATTCTGCTTTCATTTGTTGAATACTCTCAGACCTTGACATTTCCGTACACACAGCTTCAGGGCCTTCCAACCATCAAGTTCCTCTCCTTTTCTTTTTTTCCCCAATTCCTTTTAAGTTTAGAAATTGGTGGCAGAAACCTGTTCAGGGGGAAACGTGGAATAGTTGTTGAATCATCCTTTACCACCCCAGATTGTTGGGCTTTTGGCCACAGGTGAGAGAGAAGGTTAGGGTCGGGGAGACGGAGGCCGGACTCTTGGAGGCCCATTGGTGGTCCACATGCCTCTTGGCTGGACTCCTGCCGTAGCCTGGAGTGCCGGCCCATTGTGCTTGGCATGTAGGAACAGCCTGCACAGAATCCAGACTCATTTTTCAAGGAGGAGACGTCTTAACCCCTTTGTACTGCAGTATTTATCCCCTCGATGATTATTCTTAAGTGCGCAAATCATGTTTTGTAGGGCTCCTATGCTTTATAATCTTTCTGAGTAATTTTTCCTCACGCCCACACTGTAAGATCTAAGTGAGGAGTGTTTTCCATTTCACCACAGAGTGCAGCGAGCTCTCTGTGAGGGTCTTAGGGCACCTATAAGCATATCCCAGACTCAGAGCTCACACACACGCTAGAAGCAGAGGGCAGTGCGGGTGAACACTGGACTTGGGCCCACGTGCAGCTCTGTGTCAGCGCACTTTGCAGCTGCTTCACCTTCTTGCACCTCAGTCTCTTCAACTGTAAAATGGAAATACTAATGCTTTCTTTCAGGGAGTTGGTGGGGGCATTAGCAAGGTAAAATCTGCAAAAATATTGGCGTATGCCATGGCTCCACCTATACCATATCTGTATTCAGCTATCATGGGGCTAAGGGTAACTTATGCTGAGTGGCGCTGAACTCGTACCGATGGCTGTTGAGCTGACCACTCTTCTGTTCTCCACCATGGGCCTCAGTAGTGTGGGGATGTGAGCGGGCTTTGGAGTCCAGCAGACCTCAGCCTTAGTTCTGCCTCAGTAATTTAACAACCTTATGACTCTGAGCAAGTTGTTTAAATTCCAGAGCTTCTGCTCCCTTATCTTTGAAATGGGAACTTTAAGACTAACCTGCCAGTTGTTTTGGGGATGAGTAGTCGTTTCCGTAAAAGTGCCTGAGATGGAAGTTTTCATTTCTCTCTCATGTTATTTCCAGCCTCTTTCCTCTTATTTAATAAACGTGTAGCAATTCATTAATTCCACATTTAATTCTGCTGTATGCCAGAGATTAAGACAGTTGTGGTTCCTGTCTCATGAAATTCAAAATCCAGTTTGGAAGGGGGAATGGAGGTTTGGAAGATTAGAACCCCCAGATGGGAAGGTGCCCGAGAGCCAGCTGCATATGACCAGCAGACCTTCCAGCTGCATAAAAATAGTCTCATTTTTTCTAAACTCAGCACCTGCAAAGTGGAGAGGGCATTTTGGGGATCTAGCGTCTAAGAGTGAGACAGGGAGAAAGGAAGAAACTCAGAAATATGTCTTCTTTCTGGATTTCAAGCTCTTTCCCCCTGAAAGTTGATCTCGCTTCCCTCCCGTTGGTGTACGCCATCCCAGCCCTTCTCCTATTTTTGCCTTTGCTTCTACTCCAGCCTTCTTGTTTTAAGGAATGACTGTCATGTGATCCTGCCAGTCCTACAGCCTTCTCAGTGACAGCACTGAACAGCTTCCTGCCTGGTGTCTCTGGGGGTGCCAGTTAGGGCCTGTCAGGAAAACGGGAGCTGCTCTAGGGTTCAGGGAAGAGCAGTTTAATACAGAAGGCCCACTTCACAAGAGAAGTTGGAAACGTGAAAAGGGCCCAGCCTCACAGATATTGCGGAAATGTACTCACAGCACAGGGCTGTGTGCACTCAGTAGAATGGCTGACAGGGGAACGATGGACACCTCCAAGTGCCGGTAAGGCTGTAGTTTAACCCAAGCTCTCCAGCACTACTGCTATGCTGTATGTAACTTGGCAAAGCCACTTTGGAAAACTGTTATCCAGTGTTTGATGAAGCTGAATGTGCACATTGGATGGGCCCCTTTGTATGATGTACAAACATAGCAAAACTAACCTGTGGTGTCAGCCAGTGGGATAATATTACCTCTTGAGGACAGTAGTGATTAAGGGAACATGCAGGGGGCAAGGTTCCTTTTCTTGACCTAGGCGCTAATTACACAGGTGTGTTCAGTGGTGAGCTACACTTTTCTGTCATTATGTCCTACTTAATATTGTAAAAAGTTGAATTCAGCTAAGGAAGGAAGGCCTGCCCTCAGGCACTAATAAATTTTTATTTTTGTTGTTGTTGTTGTTGTTGTTAGTCTAGGCCTGAGGATATTTTCCCATTGATTTTTAGAGAGAGTTAAAGAGAGGAGGAGGAGGGGGAATAGGAGGAGGAGGAGGAGGAGGAGGAGGAGGAGGGGGAGGGGAGAGAGAGAGAGAGAGAGAAAGAGAGAGAGAGAGAGAGAGAGAGAGAGAGAGAGAGAGAGAGGGAGAGAAATACCAATGTGTGAGAGACACATTGATTGGTTGCCTCCCACACAGCCCAATCAGGGCCAGGGATTAGGCCTCAGGCACTTATAGAACCACCCGCCATTCCTTCACACTCTGGGCCCTGCGACCCTGTCACATGTTCTTGCACTCACCACACTGTCTTGTGGTTCCTGGCATCTGCAGTTTTTTCCACTTCCATACTGTGAAGGTATAGGAGCTCAAAGTTCTCATTGATCTGATTCATCAGGGGGATTCATCACCAAGGACTGGGAAGGCACAGAATAGGTGCTCAGAAAAAGCAAGAATAATGGGAGGAAAGTGTGTGTGCACAAGTGGGAAATAGTGACACAGAGGGGCCCCAAGAAGAAAAGGGGAGCTCTTGCCAAAAAGGCTTCTAGGTAGAAGCTGTGTGTAGAGAATGAGCAGGACATGGAGAAGGTGAGGCTTCTGGCTGGAGACCCCAGCCAATGTGCTCCATGTACCAGTTGGCCGTGGGTGGTAAGCTGTAAAAATAGGTTGGGGTCA